GAAAACACATTTTTGGGGACCTCAGCATCCCATGGATCTTTGGGTAAGAGGAGGTGTGGCTCACAGAGGAGACTGGGGGTGGGCCTGGCTTTTGAAGGTGACCACTTTGTCCTCACGGCGTCCCCTAGGCTGGAGGTTAGAGCAGGGGCTTTGAGGAGGAGGCTCCACTGCCCCTACCTGTGTGTGGTGGAGCCTCTGCCTTAGCTTGCTCTGCTGTGGGATGGATGTGCTGGCCGTGCCCACCCCAGGAGGTGGCTGGAGGGCTAAATGGAGCGCAGGCCAGTACAGCAAGGAGCAGAGGTCTCAGTTGCCAGGACAGGCCTTGAGCGGTGTGGTTCCTCCTTTCTGCAGTCACCGGCGCTCCCACAGGCTGCTCAGCCCGCGCAGGTTTGCAGGAGACCACGGGAAGGCAGAGCAGGCTCAACCGAGATAGCCCGGACTGAGCCAGAAGCCTGTGCCCAGCACCCAGCAGGCAGAGGAGCCTGCACCTTGAGGGTCCTTGGGCTTCATGGGTGGAAGCACACATGGAGACCTGTGGGTTCTGGCACATGGCCGGAGTGCTCGGCCCCGCGTTGGGGCAGCTCTGGGTGTTCCCTGAAATAACAGGGAGCGCATGGCGTGGCTCGGCTCCGTAGACAGCAGCAGCCGTCTCTTCTCACTTGCCCTGCAGCTTCTCCAAGGTCAGAGACACCCGCTCTGAGGGACTGAGTGCCTCTGCTCCCCTCGCCTCGCTGTGGGGAGGGCAGCACGGTGACTTCCTCCTCGCTGTGGGGAGGGCAGCACGGTGACTTCCGCACACCTCCCGGGCTTGTGTGTGTGTGGACGGTGGCTTCGGATGCTGGCAGAGCTGGCTCACCTGCTCTGAGGCATCTAGACTCAGGCCCACTTCTTGGCCACAGAGCCCTTCCCACGTGGTTACTGAGCACAGTTGTACAGGCACAGATCTGAGTCCAACAGCTCCTGCCATCAGAGTGTTGGTCATGGTCCACGTACTGGGGGTCCCACAGAATAACACGGGAAGGCGTCTGAGGCAGGGCCTCCTCTCCAACGGTGAATGCCCATGAGCAAGGAAGAGGTTCCTCTGGGACAGGGCAGGTGGGATCCACACAAGACAGTGCCCACATTCACAGGGTAGAGTGTCTGAAATCTGGTTCTGGAACATTCTAGCTGGATTAGTGGGAAAGGGAGTAAGGAAGAAGCCACTAGAAGGATGGATGTGGGCAGAAGGCCAGAGGTGGTATGGGTACCCTCGGGGACAAGGGGCAGAGCACGAGGTGTTTGTGAACTTTGAGTGACAGATGGGGGGCGGTGAGCAGGCAGCTTAGCCGCCTGGAGGCTGGAGGCGCTGGCTGCACACCTGGTGTGGCAGAGCACGAGGTGTTTGTGAACTTTGAGTGACAGATGGGGGGCGGTGAGCAGGCAGCTTAGCCGCCTGGAGGCTGGAGGCGCTGGCTGCACACCTGGTGTGTTACTGCTTCTTGGTGGCACATGTGATCTCAGCTTCCTCATCTGTCCAGTGAAGGGCATGGACATGTGGCCTTGATCCATCAACACCTCTAGGACTGTGTCCAGGCTTCACATCTGGTGCGAGACGGTTTGCGGGGCCTGAGCCCTGGCCTGAGGGTGAAGTCAGGATCGTAAGTGGCCACCAGCAGGGGCTTTCCCGCTGCTCTCCCCACGAAACTCCCCAAGGCCCCTGAATCGCCCTCGGAGGCAAGTGAGGGGAGCCCCACTTCACAGACGACGATGCTGAGACAGAAGTGGCAGGTGGCACTAAAGCTGAGGTCTGACGCAGCCCTTGGCGCCTTCCCAGCCTGCTCTCCTTTGGCCTTGACATTGCTGGAGCCTTGCACACCCAGCTTAGTGTGCAGCCAGCCCCTGAAAGCCCCTAGGCAGGACTGGCCGGGCCTGGGTTGAAGCCCTCCAGAGCTGATGTCCCCCTCCCTGGGGCAGGTCTGAACGGGATGAGCAGCGGCATCTGGGAGCGCTTTGCCTCTGGAAGTTTCTCCCCGGGCACTTCCCCTGCCTTCCTGTCAGGGCCAGGGGCTGCTGAGCTGGCCCGGCTTCGGCAAGAGCTAGACGAGGCCAACGGCACCATCCAGCAGTGGGAGGAGTCCTGGAAGCAGGCCAAGCAGGTACTGGGCCCCATGCCCACCTGCCGACCCCAGTGCCTGGTGGCATCCAAGCCTGTCCGAGTCAGTGGGCACAGGGGTGGGGGGAGCAGGGGCCTGAAGCACAGTCTCAGCTTTGTCCACTGTCCCCATCACACCCCCAGGCAGACTGGCCTGGTCAGTGAGGACCCTGGCTAGCTCGCGTCACAAGCCTAGAATAACATAGCCTAGTCCCAGGACCCCTGCATAGCCTGGAAGCCCCCGTCTCCAGGGCTCCAGGTCCAAGGATCTAGGTACTGAGGTGGGCCCTCTCCGATGCAGAGGCTACACTTCGGGGTGCTCACAAGATGTGAGCTCTGCTGTGTGCCCTCTGCTAAGCACAGGCCCCTCCTTTGCCCACAAGAGGGTCTCCTGCAGGTCCTGAAACCTCTGCAGGCAGCGTCAGCCTCCTCCCCGCCCTTCCCCAGAGCCAGCCCAGCTTCCCAGCAGGCCCCACAGCCAGAATGGCCCACAAAGCTCCTGGCGACGCTCTTGGGGACGGGGGAGGCACATACGGGGCCATCATGACCAGGTGCTGTGTGTGGCCCACAGGCTTGTGATGCCTGGAAGAAGGAGGCAGAGGAGGCCGGGGAGCGGGCCAGCGCAGCAGGTGCCGAGTGCGAGCTGGCCCGGGAGCAGCGGGACGCACTGGAGGTGCAGGTGAAGAAGCTGCAGGAGGAGCTGGAGCGGCTGCACGTGGGGCCCGAGCCCCAGGCCTTGCCCTCCTTCTCGGACCTGGAGGCGCTCTCTCTCTCCACCCTCTACTCCCTCCAGAAGCAGCTGCGGGCCCACCTGGAGCAGGTGGACAAGGTCAGCCCAGGAGGTCAGGGAGCCCCGGGTGGGGTTTTGTGGTGGCCTCAGCAGGCACTCAGGTGTAGCCTGGTCCAGGTTGCCCTGAGGACAGCCCCCTCCTGAGAGCCACTGCCCAGCACTGGGGCTGGCCTGCTGAGAGGGGGGGATCCGGGCTGACCCTGCCTGAGCTGACCCGAGCTGTGTTACTGTGTTTGGGCCCCAGGTGGCTTCCTTCTCTAAGCTCTCCACAAGTAGCAGTCATTCCAGAATGGTTCCACACCCAGGGTTGCCGGTCTGCATTCTTGGGTGCCCTGCCAAGTGCCTGGGCAGTTGTCTCCAGATGTGGCCGTGGAACCCTGGCGTGTGTCAGCGTCCTCTCGTTTGAGACAGGAGGCAGAAGCCTCTGAGAGGAAAAGCGCTCAGGGAAGACGGCTGTACAGCCAGCCGGGCCAGCCCCGCTCGCCAGCGGGGGCCTGGAAGCTGCTGTTGGGCTAGCTGAAGGGAGTCAGGGGAGCTGCGTGGTGGCCACAGTGCTGACCGTGGTGTCGCTCTCCCTGCAGGCTGTGTTCCACATGCAGTCGGTGAAATGCCTTAAGTGTCAAGAGCAGAACCGGGCAGTGCTGCCGTGCCAACACGCCGTGCTGTGCGAGCTCTGTGCAGAGGGCAGCGAGTGCCCCGTCTGCCAGCCCGGCCGGGCCCACGCCCTGCAGTCGTGACCCTGTGGGCCCGGCCCGGCCCGGCCAGCCCACCCTCCCCTAGGACTTTTTAAAGTATATATATATGTGTATGTATGTACGTATGTATGTATGTATATGTATATGATTATATATATGTATACATCTCTGTGCGTGTGCAGGTATGCGTGGTGGCCAGTGAGTGAGCAGTGTCTGTGTGTATATCTGTACATAGATGTAGACACACACTTTAAAGCAGACTTACCAAGCACTTTTTAAAAGACCTATTTGGCAGGCCTCCCTGCCCTCCCCTCACAGTGAAAAAGCCCCGTCCTCCCACGGGCCTTCTGGCGATAATCTGTTCCTGTCTCTTTTTATGTAGGAACTAACTATTTTTAACTTCTTTCTGGGCCTGAGCAGGGGGAAGGGTGGGAATCCGGAAGGGGCTGAGGGGAGGGGAGAAGCCTTCAGGGCAGGCCCTCTGACCCAGCCAGGGCAAGCTGGAGGACTCTGCTCCCAGCTGTGAGGGCCTTGGAGCTCAGCTGCCCTGGCTCCTGGGTTTACCAAACGTCGATTGAGTGCTGGGAAGGACAGCAGGGGCTGGCAGGCCAAAGCTGCAGGGCCAGCCCCACACCCACATTTGGGCGGCAAGATCTGTCCTGTCCCTCAGGCTCCAGAGGCCTGGGGTCCACCCCACCTTCTCTGGAGCTCCCCCAGAACAGCCTCCCTAGCTCACTGCTCTGGGGGGCAGTGCCCTGAGCTTCCCCCGCCCCCTCCCTTCTCTCTGCCCTGGCCTGCCTGTGTGCTGTCCGCCCCTCCTCCTGGCAGCTAGCAGGGCAATTGGTGGGGAGGAGTGTGGACTGAGGACCAAGGGGGGCGCAGGCCCCGCCCTCCTGCCCAGGAGGGGCTCGTATGCATTCCTTGGTGCTCTTGAGTGCAGCTGACGCCCTGCCCGTGTGGGCAGACGCCTGTGTGCATGTGTGTGCGTGCCTGTCCCATGTTTATTGTGTCTTAGCTTCCATTTAAAGAATTGTACAGAGAGATGCGGTGGGGTGGGAGGGCAGAGGGAAGCCACCCTGCTCCACACCGGGTGTCGGGCGAAGGCAAGAGGGCTGGAGAGGTCTGGCCGCAGCCCAGCCCCCCCTCCCCTTTGGGCTCAGCACGAAAGGGCTTTCAACGAATTGAGTGAAAACTTCCTCCTTTTTTACAAAAATGCAAAAATCAACAAAGCTCCAAGCCTGTTGGAATAAAATAGGAACTTGCAGTGCTGGCTTGTTACACAGGGGTGGGAGGGGTGGGCCGGGAGGCTTGCCTTAGCCGTGGGAGCAGCCCAGCCCGGACCCCAGCTGTGGCGGGGAAGTTGGAGGGGCCTGGGGACTCCCTGGACCCACCCAGGCCCTAGGTGGCTTTAGCGCCCTCTGACCTGGGCCTGCTGGGAAGTCAGCCTGGGACACTGGAGACCCCCAGGCCTCCGGGCTCTGTCCGTGGTGGCTGGTTTGTTCTTGTTTTCAGAAAGGCAGTAGGGCCCCTCGTTGTGCAGAAGAAATGGTTCTTCCCGTGGGGATGGTTTGCCCCTGAGGGAGGAGGGCCCAGGCCCAGCACGGAAAGGGGGTGAGGAAGGGCCTGGGGAGTCCCTGCCCAGTCCACGCACCTGGCCCCCGCTTCCACCGTGCACCGCCACGGCTGAGTCACACAGCTAGGACGCGAGTGCCCAAGTGTCCCTCACCAGTCAGGGCCAAGACCCAGCTCCTCGGCCCACACTCCTGGGAGGCCCCATCCCGAGCGGCAGCCGGCCCCTGACGGCTGGGAGGTGATCTGTCCGAGCCGAGCCGTGGCCAGAACACCGGACTGCCCGTCACGCAGCCTCACAGCCCCTCCTGCCTTGTTGAGTGCGGCAGCTCTGGGTCTCCGGGCTGGGGGAGATGTCGTGACCGGAGCAGCCTTCTGGGCCCCAGTGTAGGCCAAAAGCGTATTTTGTGAGATGACTGGAACATTTATTTCTGTTAAGAAGGGTTCTAGGTGACAGGTCCTGTCCCCAGTGTTCTCAGCATAGACTGTCCTGTGTCCTTTCTGCCCGTCTCACCCCATACCAGCCCTGCTGTCGGTTGGAGGCCACACCAGAGCCAGAAGGCGTCTGCAGCCCTGGCACCAGGCGCTGAGACAGGCTAGCCGACCCCGCCCCGCCGAACCGCCTTTTCCGAGAGGAGAGGGGGCAGGAGGTGCCCTCCCCCTCTCTGTGCCGGGCTGAAGTAGGAGGGAGTGGGAACCCAGCAGACGGTGCCCCCCATCGCCGTGAGGCCAGGCAGCCCCAGACGGTGCAGGGAAGTCCACAGGCACCTCCGCCACTACCGCCCTGGCCGAGGGGGGTGCTGGGAAGCCTGCTTGGCTCTCAGCCGCCGCAGCCGCACAAAGACCTGGGCCTCGCGGTCACCCCTCCGGCTCTCCAGCAGCTGCAGGATTGGATCCCCTGCGGGGGGAGGGGAAGGGACTGAGTGGGGGCGGGCAGTGCTGTGCCCACCCCGCCCCGACCTGGAAGGGGACCTGTGACAGGCACACCAGACGCGGCCTGGGAAGGGGTGAGGCTGCCCCAACACCGAGCCTGTTGGTGTGGGAGCTGAACCTGAAGCCAGCGTCTGCGGGGCTCAGCCACCTGAGTCCTCCCACCTGCCTCGGGCCGGCTGTGGATACAGGAGGCGTGCGCACAGGGGTACCCCTGCTCAGTGGCGCAGGCCCCTCTTCCAGCGAGGTGCCCCCACCAGCCTGGTCTCAATTAGAGGGAGACAAGCAGCGCCCCGGCTCCAGCGCTGAGGCGGCATTTCTCAGCCTGATTCCCCCACCCCAGCTCTCCCCCCTGAGCCTCGTGGGCTCTGCCCGGGGCTCTGGCCTACCAGTGGGTTCGGGGTACGTGAGGGGCAGGCGGGTCTGAGGCACCTCGCCAGCCTCCTCAGAGCTGCTCAGACCAGGCACGGAGCAGAGTGGCAGGAAGGCCTCCCCTTCCAGGTCGTCGGCACCCAGCGTGTCGTGGTCCAGCACGGTGAGCAGCAGGCACGCCCCATCCCTCCGGCATGGCTCGGCGGGCACCAGGCTGGGGGACAGGGGCGGCCTCAGCTGCCTGCCCTGAGCACTGCCACCCCGCCCCCGACGTTGCAGAGGACAGGCCCAGGCTGGGGAGGAGCCAGACGGTGGGGTCAGGATTGAAAGCTCGTGGCCACGTTGGGTGACAGCCCCGCTGAGCACGGGCTGGTGCTGTGTTCCCAGGCCCACCTGTCTTGGGGAACAGCAGGTCCCCTCAGCCCAAGGGTGGCCGTCTCAGAGGAGCCTCCAGGGAGCGGAGGGGCGGGAGAGTGGGGACTCACAACTCAAAGGTCTCGTCAAACAGGGGGTGAAGGTCCTTCCTGTGTTTCTGCGTCTCTCGGGGCGCCAGCCCAGGGAACTCGTGCCTGGGCTCCAAGGTCAGCTGGACGAAGGGGTCACTGGAGCCTGGCAAGAATGATGGCTGACCAGGCTGGTGTGGGGCGGCGGGTTAAGCTGCCCAGCGCCGGTCGCAGCCCCCACTGCTCTGCTTCAGATCCAGCTCCCTGCTGAAGCGCCCCCGAAGGCAGTGGATGAGTGCTCGGGCCCCTGCCACCCGTGTGGGAGACCCGGATAAAGCTCCTGGCTTTGGCCTGGCCACTGGGGTCATCTGGCAGATGGTTGGTCCCTCTCTGTCACTCTGCCTTTCAAATGCATAAATAAAATCTTCCTTGAAAAAGTGTTGGCTGGGGGTCTCCCAGCCAGCCCCACAGCCCCCCTGCAGCTACGCCCAGCTCAGTAGCACTGACCCCTGGTGCCCAGAGCTCCGGCCGAGGGAGGCCAGGGCAGGGCCCCAGGGCAGCCTGCGCTCACCATTGGAGTCCAGGGGCAGCAGGCTGGAGGCGCTGAGCAGCTCCACGCGAAGCTTCTGCTCCGAGACGCGGTAGGAGGCCTTGACCGTGACAGCCCCCAGGTCCTCCGAGGTGGTTTCCGCCTGGGGTGGGGAGCATGCGCAGGGTCAGCTGGGACCGAGCGGGCGGGGCGGGGCTCCAGGCTGCAGCGGAGCCGGGGGAGCGCGGGCGGGCTCACCTGCTGCCGGAGGCGGCCGCGAAAGTACCTCTGGATGAGCTCCCGGCTGGAGGCCGCCTGCAGCTCCAGGTCCCTCTGCAGAGCCTGGGCGCGGCACATCCGAGAAGCCGCCTGAATCGGCGTGCCCGAGCACAGCCTCGCGGGGGCCCTGGGGCTGTGGGACCGCCCGCAGGAGGCGCCGGTGCCCCGCGCAGGGCCGGGCCTCGGGCTAAGTCCCATCCCCATCCCCTCCCGCGCCAGCGCTCTGCGCCTGGAACCTGGAGGGACCCCTCCCACCCCTCCGCGCCCGGTGAATGCCCTGCGGTCCCGTTCCCTAAAATCCGTAATCGTTTTTTATAAGGGGGCGTAGATGATGTAGCCGGGCACGGGGCTCGCCCGACGGCCTACCTGGAAGGTGGTGGTGTGCAGGGCCGCTGGCGGCAGGCCGCAGCCTTCGGCGTGAAAGCAGATCTCCAGGTTCTGGGGGGAGACGTCAGGGGTGACCCCAGGCAGGCTCCCCGCACGGGTGTCGCAGTGCGGCGGGCGGTATTACCTGCAGAGCAGTCTTCAGCCTGCTGGAAGCCAGCGGGGAGGTGCGCTGGGCAGCGGCTGCGTCCACCAGCACGGCGAGGGTGTGAGTCCAGAGCAGGCTCAGAAGGCTGGGGGCGGGGGCGACACAGGACAGGTGGCAAGGGGAGGAGACAAAGGCGATCTTGAGAAAGGGGAGGCCACCCCGCTGCCTCCCACTGCTCTTCCACCTGCCCCACACAGGAGGCTGAGGCCAGGGCTGGTCCCTGGGAGGCAGGAGGACAAGCAGGGGCGGGTCCCGTCCAGCTCGTCCCTCCACATCAGTGCGGAAGCTCCGGGGGACACCTTGGAGCCCCAGCAAGCAGCCATGGAGGAGGGGGGTTGCTCCGGACAGAGCGGCCAGCGTGCACACACACACGGGATGGGTATGGCCCACCTTCAGGGAGAAGGAAATGGTGGCCAGACGGCCCTGAGAATGACCTGAAGTGTAACACGTGTCCAGCAAGAGTCCAGCAGTTAGGGGCCAAAAGTGTGATACGGAGTCAGGGGGCCCTACATTAACAGGGGTCAGTTAGGGGCCAGCATTACGGTACAGCAGGTTAAGAGCCACCATTTGCGACTCTGGCATCCTATAGTGTTGTGCCGGTTCGAGTCCCGGCTGTTCCACTTCCGATCCAGCTCCCTGTTGATGCACCTGGTGAGGCAGCGGATGACCGCCCAAGTGCTCGGGCCCCACCGCTCCTGTGCGAGACCCAGATTGAGTTCCTGGCTCCTGACTTTGGCCTGGCCCCTCTCTCTCCCTCTCTCTCTCTCTCTACCCTCTGTTATTTAAATGAATACATCTTTTTAAAAAGAGGGAAAGGAAAAAAGGCAGGCGGTGAGACTCCCGTGGGCCCCGGCAGTACCACTTGGGGGTGGAGCAGAGCCCTAAGAGGGCGGGGCTGGCCGCATCCCCAGGGCCCAGCCGCCACGCAGGCGCAGAGCATCACCTGGGCCTCGCTGCTCCTGTCAGTCATGGAGCGGGGGCGGGGCTGGCCGCATCCCCAGGGCCCAGCCGCCACGCAGGCGCAGAGCATCACCTGGGCCTCGCTGCCCCTGTCAGTCACGGACAGGGGGCGGGGCTGGCCGCATCCCCAGGGCCCAGCCGCCACGCAGGCGCAGAGCATCACCTGGGCCTTGCTACTCCTGTCAGTCACGGACAGGGGGCGGGGCTGGCCGCATCCCCAGGGCCCAGCCGCCACGCAGGCGCAGAGCATCACCTGGGCCTCGCTACCCCTGTCAGTCATGGAGCGGGGGCGGGGCTGGCCGCATCCCCAGGGCCCAGCCGCCACGCAGGCGCAGAGCATCACCTGGGCCTCGCTACTCCTGTCAGTCAAGGACCTGCCGCTTTGGGCGGACAGTGCTCTCAGCGCGTCACATGACCCAACTAATCTTCAGTACAGGACGGAACTTTAGTCATCGGCAATGAGAGCTTCAGGGACTGCTGGAGGCCCCCGGGTAGCAGTGAAGCTGGAATCTTGTCCGCTCCGCGCCCAGTTGCCTGGTGCTCTGGATCCCTGCCCTGCCCGTAGAGACCCCAACTGAAAGTTCTCCCTGGACCGCGGCGGGGGCGGGGAGGAGTCTGTTCATGGCGATGTCAGGAGGGCTGAGAAGCAGACAGGGAGGCCCGGAAGCCAGGCCCAGCACCAAGGGAGGGGGCAGGCAGAGGGCAGCGCCTCCAGCGAGGAACCTGCAGTGCCCCGAGCTGAACAGCGAGACAGCGAGCAGAGGCTGGTAGCTCCCTCCGAGGGAGGTCACAGAAAGCAAGGCGGGGGGGGGGGGGGGGGAGAGAGGCGGGGTGGAGGTGGGAGGAGAGGTGGGGGTGGAGTGGGAGGAGAGGTGGGGGTGGGGCTAGAGGTGGAGGTGGGGGTTGGAGGAGAGGTGGGATGGAAGGAGAGGTGGAGGTGTGGGTGGGGGTGGGAGGAGAGGTGGGGTGGAGGTGGGAGGAGAGGTGGAGGTGTGGGGTGGAGGTGGAGGTGGGGGTGCAGGGAGGTGGGGGGTGGGCGTGGAGGTGGAGGTGGGGGGGTTGGAGGAGAGGTGGGATGGAAGGAGAGGTGGAGGTGTGGGGGTGGAGGTGTGGGTGGGGGTGGAGGGAGGTGGGGGTGGAGGTGGGAGGAGAGGTGGAGGGGGGGTGGAGGTGGAGGTGGGGTGCAGGGAGGTGGGGGGTGGGCGTGGAGGTAGAGGGTGCCCTGCAGGGCGGGGCCTGCTGTGCACCTGCTGAAGTTCTCCTGCACCAAGTTGGTGTTCATGTAGCAGAGTTTCACCTCCAGGAACTTCATCAGTGGCAGAATGGCCTGTGGAGGGGCAGGGAGCAGGTCTGGCTCTGGCCCCTTCAGTCCCGCCCCCGCCCCGGTCCTCGCCCGTCCCTAGGGGCTGGTGGGTACAGTCTTGCCATCTGCAGGGCCTTGCCCCGCCCGGCCTCTTGGCTCAAGCTGCTGCGGCCACACTGGCGCCCTCTCCAGCCCTTGAACCTGCCGGGTCTGCACCTCTGTTCTTGCTGTCTGTCCTCTGCCCTGTAGCAATCCGCGGGGCTCTGGGCTCAGCTCAGCCCCTGGGAAGGCCACCTTGACCGCTGCTTACCAACGCAGCGGCCATCAGAGACTGCCCACCTGCGCTCTGCTTTCTCCTGGTCTCGCACTGTGTGTGTGTGTGTGCGTGTGTGTGTGCAGTCCCGTTACACCTGCTGCTGGGGTTATGTATACTCCTATCTAGCTTGCCTTTCACCTCCCCTAAGTGCTAGGAAGGCAGACTGTGTCCTGCTCACTGGTCCATCCCCAACGCTTAAATCAATGCCTGGGACAAAATGGGCGTGTCCTAAGTCGTTGATGAATTAGGGGAATAAACGCCCTCACCAACCACGACCACCACCAAACAGTCCAAGGTGTACGTCACTGTGCCTGCTCCAGGTGAGGGGACAGACGGACACAGGGACGCAGGACAGGACCCAGGGGCTGCCAAGCCTGAGCCAGATGCCCCCTTGAGCATCCAAGGGGGAAACTGAGGCCCAGGAGAGAACATGGCTGGTTCCGATCTGGGGGACTGGGCTCTGACACCCCAAGGCTTTCAGCCCCCTGCCCACACTGACCCCCTTGGTGAACCCACAGACACAGGGCTGGAGGGCAGCGGGCGGGGGGACACTCACATCTTCAGGCGGGACAGACTCCCGGACGCCCACGAGTTTCTGAATGTGCTTGGCAATGCCAACCTCCAGCTGGGGACACAGAACGTGAGAGGCCAGGAGCGTTCGTCACTGGACGTAGCCCGGGCCCGCCAGGGTCAGGCTTCGGACAAGCTGGGACGGAGGGGACCAGATACCTGCTCTGCCAGGGTGCGGACGCCGGTGCGGATCTCGTGGCCCAGCCCAGCCAGCGCGCCCTGCAGCTGGGCGTGCAGCGTGTTCTGCAGCTGCCCCTGCTCCAGCGCGGCCCCCACCCGCTGCTCCAGGGCCTCCCAGGCCAGCTGGGCGGGCAGCCTGCCGACCACCAGCCGCAGCTGCTCCATGTCGTTCACCACCACACACAGCTGGGGGCAGGCAGGGCAGGGGGCTGTCACTCACCCCAAACAGCGCCAGGACCCTGGGCCCCGCCCGCGGCCCCCAGCTCTGTCCCTTACCATGTCGGCTGCCTGGCCCTGGTCCTTCTGGCCTGCAGAGAGCTCACGGGCTCGGGCCTTGATGAGGCTGCAGTACACCAGGGCCAGCCGGCAGGTATCCTGGGGTGGGGTGGACAGAGGGGATCTGTTGATGGGGGGCATCCAGGAAGGACGGGTGGGAGAGGGGTGACCCCGAGGCCTGTGCCAGAGCCAGGAGAAATGGTGAGCGGACAGCAAGGCTCTCCTGGGAGTAGGGGGAAGGGCTCAAAGGAAGACACTGTACCTCCACAAACTTGACAGTGATCATGAAAGCCTCCTCCGGGTCTGGCCAGTCCAGCTGCCGGGCGGTGTGGCTGATCTGGGCGAAGCAGGTGGACAGATCCACGGCCGACGTGCTGTGCTTGGTCAGTTCACCCAGGGGCACCAGCTTGGGGTAGGGGAGAGCATTTAGAAAGAAGGGGGCTAGGCCGGGCATCATGGTGTAGCAGGTGACGCCTCAGCCTGCCACCAGCATTCCCTACGGGCGCCGGTTTGAGTCCCGGCTGCTCTGCTTCCTGATCCAGCTCCCGGCTAATGCGCCTGAGAAAGCAGTGGAAGATGGCCCGAGTGCTGAGTGCTTGAGTGCCTGACACTATGTGGGAGACCCGATGAAGCTCCAGGCTCCTGGCTTTGGCCTGGCCCAGCTCTGGCCATTACAGCCAGCTGGGGAGTGAACCAGCGGATGGAAGATCTGTGTGTGTGTGTGTCTGTCTCTCCCTCTCTCTCTGTAGCTCTCAAATAAATAATTTTTTTAATTCCTTAGTCAAAAAGAAAGGAAGGGAGGGAGGGAGGGAAGGTGAGAGGGAGGGTAGGTGGGAAGGAGGGAGGGAAGGTGGGAGAGAGGGAGGGAGGCAGGGAGGGAGGCAGGGAGGGAGGCGGCTCTGGATGCCACCAAACCCAGCCCCCACCCCCTTCCCTTCACAGAAGCTGCTACTACCGAGTCAGGGGCTGGGCAGGGGGCTGCAGAGGGAACAGGTGAGGCTCTGCTCAGAACCCCCTCTGCAGAGAAGCCACACTTCGGCCCAAGCGCGTGGGAAGACAGCATTTGGCACCTGCGTCTGCCCTGCAGAGCCTCAGCCCCGCCCCCAGCCCCACCTGGTCCATCTGCACAGCCCGCTGCACACGCTCCAGGGCCACGTTGTATGTCTTCTGCAGCCAGGCAGGGATGGCTGGCTGGAACCAGCGGTGGAAGCCATCCAGGGCCAGGACTCCGTCCCTGGGGGGGAGCTGAGGCTCAGCTGGGGCAAGGCCTCGGGCCCTCGTCGGCCTGCCCACAGCCACCTGCTGCCTACCTCTCCGAGGGCGGTGGGCCCAGCTGGCAGAGCTCCTTGAGGCTGACGTAGAGCTGGAACAGGCTCTCGCCCACCTCTGGGGACACAGGGCTGCACACGGCCGCCGTGTGGTCCTGCGCCCGCTTGGCCACCTGCGAGGGAAGGCAAGGTGTAGGCAGCGTGGCAGGCAGGCCGGCAGAGCGGGGCCGGGGCGCAGCCTGGGGACCGAGGGCCTCACCAGCCACTGCAGCTCCAAGAAGGCCGTGGAGAAGAGGTCGATCTTGAGGACGCTGCGGGGAAGGGACGGGTGTGACCGGGGCCACCAGGAGGCCCCTCTGCTCTGCTGCCCTCCCCGCCCCGCCCCTCCCCGCCCCGCCGGCTGCTTACCCGTGGAAGATCTTGCTCCAGGTGCGCTGGCACTGGTGCAGGTCCCCGATGACATCCTGCACCAGGCTCAGCAAGGCCTTGCCCGCCTCCAGCACCCCCTGGCAGGGACAGGGTCCGTGAGGAGCAGGGCTGAGGCGGGCAGGCTCCCCCACGCCCTCCCGCCCGAGCCCCTCACCTGCACCATGGGCTGGTGGTGCTGCTGCTTCCGGTGGAACCACTCGACAGTGCCTGTCTGTGGGCAGAGAGGCCGCGAGCGGGGAGGGCCGGCCGGGCCCAGGCACACGCCCGCCCCTTCCTGCCCGGAGTCGGGGTGGGGGGGGGCGGGGGCAGGGGGTGAGCCATACCCGAAGGGCCTCCTTCACCAGCTGAGGCAGCGGGGGGCTGTCCAGGCACAGTTCTCCAAAGGCCTTTGTCTTACACATCTGCACCAGCACCCTGAGAGACGGCAGGGCTGCGTCCCAGAGGCCTGCCCCCCCCCAGCCGCCCTCCCTCCGCCAGCAGGCCCCCACCGACCGACCTGAGCAGAGACTGCAGCCGGGCCGGGGAGTCGGAGACGGACAGGGGGAAGACCGACCGGAACTTCCGGATGAGGGAGAGGCCGTAGGCCAGCAGGGAGCTGAACGAGGAGGCCAGCTCCTCCAGCTACAGGGCCAGAGGGTGCCGTTGGAGGGGCCCCACGCCGCCTCTCCTGTCCCCCTGCCCAGCCCCCCGCCCGCGGCCCACCCTGTGCCCACCTGCTCTGCCCTGAGCCGGCCCTGGATCCACTGGTATTCGATGCTGGTGATGGGGTGCAGGAGGCAGCTGCTGGGGAACTCCAGGCTCTGGTAGAGGCGGCTGTAGGCCAGCCACTGCCTGCAGGGACAGGGGCCCTCAGCCAGCCTCGCCTGCTGCCCGGAGCCCCCTCCACCTGCGCACGCCCGGTGGCCTGCAGGACTCTCAGGCTTGTTTCCATAGGTGCCCCTCCAATTGCCCGTTTCTTCAATTTGAGGGTATTTGTGATTTTCAAACTTCTGGATTTTTTACTTTGTCCAAAAAAATCAAATGCAGGGCTGGAGCCCTCGTGCAGACGCCCGTGCAACTTCCCTGCAGGTGGCTCTAGAAGGGGCGCCTGAGTGGGCGGGCGCAGGGTGGGGGAGGGGGCACCCAGACGGGCCGAGGGCTCTGCCAGTCAGCCGCCCCCTGTGTCACCGCCTGGTGCCTGCTCTACCCCCCAGCCTCACCCCCGTATCTCCCCCGCACTGCTGGTCTCCAGGCCCTCATCTCTCCTGTCGCCTGCCTCGGGACACACACTGGCCGTGCTCAGAGCTGCCCTCTCCCCGCCTCCCTCTCCAGCGCCCAGCCTCCACCGAGGCCCGCGGGGCTGCCCGGGACCCTGGGAGTGTCTCTCCTGCACGTCTGGAATGCACTGGAATATCTGGCACTCCTGGGATCCGACAGGACACAGGGCACTCCGCCCACGTGGGCTGGCTGCAAAGTGACGGCATTGGCAATGGGCCAGGCCTGGGGCGGGGGTGGCCAGCGCAACTGCCCAGGACTCTGGAGAGGGGAGAGAGTGAAGTGGGCCCAGCGGCCGCCGTGACTGCGCCCTGGCCACCCTGCAGGTCCAGTGCTGCTTCACGGGCAGCTGGAGCCCTGGTCAGGGCAGGAGGCCTCCGGGACTTCGCAAGCTTAAAGCACATCGAGAACCCTCCCGAGGGCTGGGCTTTGGGCCGCCAGCTTGCAGGGGGGCCGGCAGGGGGGCAGAGGCGGCAGGCACCCCGTCGGCCCTCCCGCGGGGTTCTGCACTCACGCCAAGGACTGGTGGAAGTCGGACAGGTCCTTCTGTGTGGCGTGCAGGAAGAGGATGGTGGCAGCCTGGGGACTCAGCGACCCATCCCAAGAGGTGCTGCCTGCCTGGGGACGACGGTGGACGGGCGTCAGCGCCCGAGGGCTTCCTGGCCACGCCCCGCCCGGGAAGGACAGTACCTGGTGCCGGGTGACCTCGTGCGACACGAGCTGCTGCAGAAGGTGGAGGTGCACAGTGTAGCTGGGCTGGGACCGGCTGGCCGCGGTGGCTCTCTGCAACAGGGCCCACAGGGGCTGTGAGCAGGGAGGACCCCACCCCACCCCGCTGTGCCCCTGGCCCGAGCGCTGGACCTACCCGCTTGTGAATGAGCTGGAACTGGAGGTGGCACTGGCCCCGGTCCGGGTAGGTCTCCGTGCAGGGCTCCAGGGGGTACCACTGGTCTTCTCGGCAGTGCAGGTCCTGGTAGAAGGAAAGACTGGGTCCGTGAGCGTGGGGTCCTCACAGGAGGGGGGCAGGGCTGCGGCTCCCCGGGGCCCTCGCGCTCCTCACCTGCAGCCTCAGAACCACATTCCCCAGGAAGTCATCCTGACCTCTGTCCTTTCGGGCTTCCTTGAAGATCCTGTCCAGGGGTCCCGAGAGCGGGAGCCAGGCTGAGTGCGAGGCTCGGGCTGGAACCCGCTCCCGCCTGCCGCCCGCCCCGGGCCTGGGGGTCACAGCACCCACCTTCGCAGCCCGTGCAGGTCCGTGAGCTCGCCAAGCTTCTGTCTCATGGACTCCACGGCGTCCATGTCCCTGGTGGGCACCGTGTGAGCAGGAGGCGGAGCGCGGGAGGGCGCTCCCTCCCAGCCGGCGCCCGGGGCAGGCCGGCACTCACCACATGTCCAGATGAAAGCTGGCCTTGCTTATGTCCTCAAACTCCCTGAAGGGAGAATAAGGAGCAATCGAGGGGCTTGAGGGAGGAGACCCCTCCCCAAGACCAGCCCAGATCCTGCCCCAGGAAGCTGCCCCCGCAGATCTTCGCAGTATCCCTGGACTGTTGGCCCCTCCCTCCAAGCTCCTCCTCCCCTTTAAGGTCGGGCATGGGGCCACCCCCCACCCACCCAGAGGGGCTGCGACCCTCCCAGCCCCAGCAGCCATATGTGGTGGCTGTGTCATCTTTCTGTCCTTTCTGGCCCCCTGTCTGTGTCAAGGGACCCAACAAGCCCCACCTGCAGCCAGGGAGACCCTGCCCCCTAGAGGAGCCCGAGTGGGGAGGGGCCAGCGGCCGGCCACGTACAGGATGAAGGTCTCGTCCCAGACCGGGTTGAGCGTCTGGGTGATGACCTGGGTGCGGTGCGTCTGCTCCTCGGGGATGGCGTGCCTCACCACGGCCTTCTGCCTGCGCCGAGAGCCGGGGCTGCCCCCCGGCGCGCCCAGCCCCTGCTCCACGCCCAGCAGGCAGTAGGGGTCGCTGAAGCCTGGGGAGGAGGGAGTCAGGTGGGCCCCCGCGGAGAGCCCCTCACCATCTCCCACCCCAGGCAGAGCCCCTGCTGAGGGAGGGCAAGGGCGGCTGGGCAGGGCCCCCAGCTCAGACCCCAAGCGTGGGGCCTGCAGCACCAGGGCCCCCCGAGAGCCCGCGGTCAGGCTTGGCGCCCCTCACTCACCACTGACATCCTTGCCCAGAATGCCCTTGGCCTGCTTCACCGTGGCCTTCAGACAAAATGTTGGCTTCTGGAGGGTCGGGAAGGGGCAGCCTGAGTCCCGGGGACTCTGTCCCGGGCTTCCCAGGCCCCTCTCAGCCCAGACCGGCCCAGGCGCGGGGCTACCTCGAGGTCCTGGACCCGCTGCAGCAGCTGCTGGTGCTCCCCGGGCTCCATGTGGAAGGCCTGGGGGGGGGAGGCAGAGGGCGGGGCTGCGGGAGGCTGGGGACCCTGGTGGGGGCGCCCGGGGCCAAGAGAGGGCTCCTCGGTGCAGGCTGCAGGAAGGGGGGCTCACCTCCTGCAGGTAGCGCAGCAGCTCGGACGCCTCCCTCACGTGGCCCGGCTCGGGCTGCCCCAGGCGGTGCAGGATGGTGTACAGCGCTTCCTCGTAGAGCAGCGTCCGCTGAGACACGAGGGTCAGCCCGGGAGCCCCGGCGGGCACCAGCCCCCCACGCTCAGCCCGGGGCAAGGCACCCCATGTGTGGCAGAGGCTGCCGAGACCCAGACGTGCCCGCCACCCCCAGGCTGCGCCGCCACCCCAACTTCTCTGCACCCCGCCTCCCGCTGGGACTCTTACCTCCTCGGAGGAGAAGGAGTGCGATGCAGGCTCCATCTGGGGAGCAAGTGGAGACGAGGTGTCCTCCCAGGCCTGGCCTGGACAGGCAGGGGTGGCTCTCCAAGTTCAGGCTAAAGCCAAGGGCAGCCCGGGCCCCGCACCCCGGACTCCAAGCCCACCAATGCCCCACACCTGTTGCTGCAGCAGGCCTCCTGGGGGTCCGGCCTCCTGGCCCCCTGGCCCACTGTCGCTGAGGTCCATGGGTGCTGAGAGTCCTCCGACCCCGGCCCCCGCCCTCCCTTCCTGCCCCAGAGGAAACAGCTCTGCTTATCGGTGGCCTCGGCTCCTCACCCCAGCACCGGAAGTGAGGCCCCACGGTGGAGGAGGTGGGAGACCAGGGGCGTGCCAGGCAGTCCTGGGGGCTGCCGGGCTGTGTGCATGAGCAGCCCCCCACACAGCAGGGACACCCCCACCTAACGGAGCCAGTGCCTCTGCCTCTGGAGAAGCGGGGAACGGGGGATCAGGCCCACCAGAGGGAGGGGGCCCAGAGGACAGCCCGAGCCCTGCCCTGAGCCCACAGTGGCTCAGAGAGCACACGGCAGCCCCCTCTTTGCTGACCCAGAAGGCTCTGCCCAGGGGCTGGGGTGGCATGGAGTTGGGGCTGAACCTTGGGGCTCCTGGAGCCCCAAGACCACAGAGCCTCCCCCCTGCCTCCTGGCTGGCTCTTCTCCCACTGAGGTCACTCCTACCTCCTGGTTCATTTGGGGCAGGTCTCTGGCCCTGTGGTGCCTTATCTTGATGGCCTGGCGCAAGAGGGGGCCCCTCCGCTGGGGGTGGGACGGGCGTGTCGCCATGGTGGCCCGCTCTGCGCTTGCCTCTGCCGTCCCCCTGCCGTGGAGCGGAGACAACGAAGCCGCAGGATGATGTAAAGCAGCCCAGGCTGCCACCCTCTGCCAGGGCGGGGGAGGGGAGGGCCGGAGCGGGCCGGAAGGGCCAGGGTGTCACCGCTGTGCGGGGGCCAAGTCCCAGGCCCCCTCACCTTTCTCCAGCCGGGAGCCTCAAAGGATCCTCCCCAGGCTGGCACGGAGGGTGGACCCCGTGGGCCGGCCAGCCCCACCTCACCCTCCCCTAAAGGCCCTGGGCAGGGGTCCGGTGCTCCCAGCAAGGGCGGCAAGGCCGGCGGGCGGTGCCCTGCCCCACCCACACACAGCACCACGCCCAGTGCTCACCCAGGCTTGGGCAGGGCTTGGGGTGTGAGCTGCTGGAGGCACAGCCTGTTCCACCCCACAGGTGACATTCCATGGAGGTGACAGGGCAGGCTGTGCTAGCCAGGGAAGGCCCCGGGGCCCCTGCCCCCACCACAAGTCAGGAGGGTGCTCCTCCAAACCCCTCTCAGGGGTTCAGGGGAACCCAGAGCGCTCCTGGGCGGGGCCAGCAGCAGGAAGAGGCCGGCTGCCAGTCTCTCCCAGGGACTGGCTTAGAGCAAACTCGGGCTTCCCCAGAGCCCTGTGACCTGCAGACCTTGCACCCAGCACCAGGGCCTGGCTGGACTTCCGGTTGTTTCCTGGCCTCCCCTCCCACCAGGCCCAAGGATGGTGAACAGGATGGGGGGTGCGGCCACAGCCAGGTTTCTGTCCTCACTCCAGGGGGCCTAAACCCCCTCCTGCTGTGCAGTCCCTGGGCCAGGGTTGCAACTCCAAGAGCAGCCAGCAGGGGACAAGGCAAGACGCAGGGCAGCCAAGGACGGGAATGGGGCCAGGCCCAGCCTCCAGCGCCTGTCCATTGGCCAGGCAACAGTAGGCATCACCCCACTGCAGCCGGGCCCTGGGCATCAGGCCGTCCTGGGGACCAAGGGGCTCAGCTCTGTCTCCCAGCCTCCCCCTGTCCTGGGGACCAAGGGGCTCGGCTCCGTCTCCCAGCCTCCCCTGCCCTGGGGACCAAGGGGCTCAGCTCCGTCTCCCAGCCTCCCCCCAGCCTCCCCCGCCCTGGGGACCAAGGGGCTCAGCTCCATCTCCCAGCCTCCCCCCAGCCTCCCCCGCCCTGGGGACCAAGGGGCACAGCTCTGTCTCCCAGCCTCCCCCGCCCTGGGGACCAAGGGGCTCGGCTCCATCTCCCAGCCTCCCCCGCCCTGGGGACCAAGGGGCTCAGCTCCATCTCCCAGCCTCCCCCTGTCCTGGGGACCAAGGGGCTCGGCTCCGTCTCCCAGCCTCCCCTGCCCTGGGGACCAAGGGGCTCAGCTCCGTCTCCCAGCCTCCCCCCAGCCTCCCCCGCCCTGGGGACCAAGGGGCTCAGCTCCATCTCCCAGCCTCCCCCGCCCTGGGGACCAAGGGGCACAGCTCTGTCTCCCAGCCTCCCCCGCCCTGGGGACCAAGGGGCTCGGCTCCATCTCCCAGCCTCCCCCGCCCTGGGGACCAAGGGGCTCAGCTCCATCTCCCAGCCTCCCCGCCCTGGGGACCAAGGGGCTCAGCTCCATCTCCCAGCCCCCCCCCTCCGCCCTGGGGACCAAGGGGCTCAACTCCGTCTCCCAGCCTCCCCCTGTCCTGGGGACCAAGGGGCTCAACTCTGTCTCCCAGCCTCCCCCGCCCTGGGGATCAAGGGGCACAGCTCTGTCTCCCAGCCTTGCCTGCCCTGGGGACCAAGG